TTTTTTTTTTTTTGTAATATTTGCAGTCGATTTATATATATTATTATTTCTGTATTTTTAATGTATATTAATATTATTTAATTTTCCATCGAGTGCATGTGAGTGTTTGCGCGCTCGTCGATGGTCTCTAGTTACTGCACGCAACTAACCTAAATAGCTTTCGTTAAGACAAATTAGATTTTCTCGTGAAGAGCACAATTAAAATTAACGATTACGTCACATCAAACGATTTATTCACTTGGAAAATATTTTAAGTGATAAAAACGCTCGAGCGGAAACGGATTTATTTACGTGGGGCCCCGGGGCACTCGAGGTTGTGGAGAACCCAACAGCGACTAACGCCCTATAGAGTCCTGTACTTTAAATTCGTACGGGATTTATAAATGCCGTATTGTTTTTATTTTTTCTGGGGCCCCCGGGCCACCCTTAAATCAGGCCCTCCAGTCTCGGAAGAATTTTTACTTTCGAAATTTCTTTAAAGATAAGAGCGTCGTCGGACAGACGGCTTTCAATTTACTTCGCTTTTTTTTGTTGCGGTCGATTCGCAGATCGAAATTCGGAGAAGTGGCCAACGTCTTCCCGATATTTAATATATGTATATACGTAATGGATACGTCTAACATCCAGTTAGGAACCACTCGGAATTACGGGCATTTCGCTCACCCATCAATTAAATTATTATTAAATCTAACGATTTAGGCGCAATTCTTTTTTAGATCGTGTTTAACAATATACCAATTAGAACCAGTTCTTATTTTAAAGTATTTTCGATGATTTTTGGCCGTCTCCTTTCGTTCGTGGCAATTGAAAACACCACTAAACCCGTGGACCGGGCGCCAACCCACTACCAATGGTGGGTTGGCGCCCGATCCACGGGCTAATAGCATGAAATTTTCCGAGTTTTTTTCACGTGTTTAACACTTAAATGAGTGCTAATTTCCTTAGAAAGGCACCCCTTCGCGCCATGTGTTACGTTGCCTCGTTCCAATCCTTTCGTGCTCATCAGTGACCTAATGGATAAAACAACCGAATACTCTGGTGGTTTGTCGTGGGTTCGTGCCTTTTACGGGTTTTCTTTACGTTTGTAACACCTAAACAGGGGCCAGTTTTCCACTAAAGTCCTTCCGGGAGGGCAGATCGCCTGTGTGTCGCGTTGCCGTAATCGAATAAACTAAAACCAAACCAATCCTTTTGCTCGTCTATGGTAGTCGTCGGCCGGAGATGCGCACTGTACACAAGAAGTTCCCTCCCCTATCGAATTTCTCCCTTAACACTTCGTTTGATAAGTTTTTTATTAAGCGGTGTTAACGAACGAATAATTATTACATTCGGTTTTACGGCTGTTGCCGTTTATATAAAATTTAAGGTGAAGTATTTTGGGGACCCTTTATTCGTGTGGATCCATGCGGATAATAAATTTCTAAAGTTCTTTTTTATTTCGGTAATCCGAGCGTAAGTAAAATAAGGGGGGAAGAGTTGATGGCGACGATGATTCCGAGTACGATTAGTGTGGAGGTAGGACTACAACAGGATTCGACCTACTTAGGACAGTTGGAGTGAGAAGCTCTAGGTATGTTTTGTCTTAACAATTGGTAGGGCCGGCCGAAGGTATTGCGGGCCTCCGGAAAAAGTTATTAGTGGACCCCATTAATATTTGCGAAAGCGCTATAGGATACTTACGCGTAGTGTTATATCAGTATTAACTTACTCTTGTTTACATTTTCCGGGAACTTTTTGAATGCCCCCGTGTAAATTTGAAAGCGCTGGATCCCTCTGAGAGCGGGACCTCGAGGCCCGAAAAATCAACGTCCGAGCCGACGATTGGAGTTGGCAATGCCGAATTTCAGTTTCCAGTGTGCCACAGTGGATACTAGATCTAGGAGGCCCGAAATTGGAAAAAGTAAAGCAATTATTTATAAATAATTCTATGGGTTCAATTAAATATTGTAAGTTTACTATGTAAATTATATAGGAGAGGCCCCAATCTTCTGCTCCTAGAACACGGAAGATATTAATTTAATTAATCTTAAACGCTGGGAGTTCCTAACGAATGTAGAAAAGAGTGATCATACCCGACTCGGATTTTATATCTCGAATAATAATTCCTCCCCCTCACAAACCGACCTCTACCGGAATGTCGCGAGCGATTTCTCTTTCTAGTCCGTCGATTCTGTAATTATATTATTCTTTATAAAAATACCAAATTTATTTCCGCATTTGCTACACGTAAGCGCCGTAAGTAACGTATTCTAGCGCGTGTGTAGTAATGCGAGAAAACGCGTTGGTACGTGACCAAAGCCATCCGCTCGGGGTAAAGTGTTCGAAAAAAGAAAAAAATGGTTACTTTCCATGTGGAAAACCGAACGTCGTAATAGAGTAACAAATACATTGGTAATCTCGCTTTTTAACATTCCAGGGCTTCGAACATATTATCAAGACCCTTTAATCCAGATGAATATTCCATAACAGGGTGTTCGAATACTTGGTACTGGCTCCTTCTGCCTCTGAACAAGTGAAATAACCTTACGTACAATGTCTCTTTATTAATAAATAACAGCCTTAAAGTAGTAAAAGTTAATTTATAGGTGCCTAGTTGATAACAGATTTATCATTGTCTTTATCACTCTCTTCGAGCCCACCAGTTATGCAGTAGGTAAAACTGTAGTTTGTCGCGGGTTCGTGCCTCACCAACTTGGACTTTTCCCGGTTTTATTCACGTGTCTAACACCTAAATGGGGGCCAGTTTTCCCCATAAAAGTCCTCCAGAGAGGCACCTCCCCTTGGTAGATCGTCCATGTGTTGCATTGCCTTATCCCGTTACATCTTCTTAAGTTAGGAAATTTCCTTCCAGTTTCGACAGTTGGAACTAGAGCAATTCTTTTTATTTTTGTACTATTTTATTTTCTAGCCTTATTATCGAACGTTATATGTAATTAAAGAGGGTAGGTCCCTGCCAACGTGCAGCCAGGGTATCTTTTCCCATTAGTCACATTTTGGTATCGTTATTTCGAGTTTTTGAAAATTTCTAGAATTTAATACGAATCTTTTCATCGTTAAACTATTTTCTGACGTAATAATTCGTAAGAACTTTTGTTATATTTACGAGAATTGTTACAACAAATAGGCCTATTTTATATACGATAAAGGATAATAAAAATGTTTTGTGTTTCCTCATAGTTGTCCGGGAATTTCCTGCGTACTTTGAGACTGTTTCCCCGGATATAAAACGAAATTAAAAGGACGTCGAACGGAGTTTTTAATTACGTAAAATACTGATAGCCGATGCCTCACCAACGGGTGTTGCGGGTTTTCATCACGTGTCTAACAACACTTAAATAAAGCCAGTTTCCTATAGAAAGTCTTCCCGGGAGGACTTCGTTACGTTCGAAGTGCGTAACGCAGTAACGATCGAAGGAGGTAATTTCTTTGTCATCGAACTGTCACGCAATCCGAATAATCCCGGCGACAGATCATTGGCGTCGATCTCTGTATACATTAAAGAGAAGTCGGGCCAATGACAAATGAGTAAGATATATTTCCTATTGTCGGGTTTTGTGTGGATATAAAAAAAAATAAAGCGCGCCCGTTGTATACAGAGTAGTTTACTCGTTTGTATTCCTAATTTTTGTAGTAAAAACACGTATATATCTTGAGAAGGGGATAATTTTTCCAGTACAAAAGTGGGAAATGTGTCTTCTCTCGACTCCCGTACGACGGACTACAACAAAAATCGATAGGAATTTGATAAGTGATCCCGCTCCAAGCTACACGCTTATCTTTTCCATCTGTTTAATCCGTTCTATAAAAGAAACGGCCATAATTGTCTCCAATTGACAATCAGAGTCGTCCAGAGGGGTAGGAGGTTGGGAAATTTTCCTCGGATCCGGAGAAAAGTTAGGGCCTCCTAGTGTTTCCCTACTCCTACAAATTAATGTTGTGTTTACCAAGAGTTTAAGACCGTTCTACTTACTGTATTTCATTTGTACGATATTAAAGAGCAAAAAAGGGGTCTCCCGTACAAGCCCTCGACGGCCCGTTCACGATACATAGAAACAATAATGTCGACAGTGGCCATTATATTCGGATTCGACCATTACCGATTAAGTAAGCCGCTCCCTTTAATATTTATTCGTAAAAAAAAAAATTAAAAGTTTTGCGATTTTATTGTCAAATACGTAATAACGTTTCGTGTTTTAATAACTAGCGATCTAATTAAATTAAATTCGAATTTATACGCACGGGTAATTAATAGATAAGCGCTCTTACGACCCAGATAAAAATAGCTCAGTCGGAGCCTTTGTCAAGCACTAATTGCTTATCGCCATTAAAGATTTAGTTCCTCGCGCGTGACCGATATAAATACGCAAATTTTCTTTAAAAATATTTCGGTTTTTTATAATAATTGTAAAACGTAATTAAAAAAATAAAAATGTGTATTATTGTTATTACTGATGTCGATGGTTCAAACAACAAAAGTCCGATAGAGGGATTAACCATCGA